AAAAAAAAAAAAAAAAGAATTGATAATTGTATGGCAAGTCTCAGAAGCGAATCATAGCTATGCTGCTTGTCTCAGTCAGCTCAGGCTTATGTAACAAAATGCATGGCTTAAAGAACAGGAATTTATTTTCTTATAGTCATGGAGGCAGGGAATTCTGAGATCAAGGTGCAGCTGATTCAGTTCCTGGCTGGTGCCTTCACATGGTTAGGAGACAGACAAAGAGCAGCTCTCTAGTCTCAATTACAAAGACAGGAACCCTAATAGATTATGGCCCCACCCACTACCTCACACAACCTTACTCACTCCCTTACAGGCCCTGTGTCCAAATACAGACACATTGGGTGTTAAAGCTTCAACTGTTGTTTAGGGGAGACACAACTGAATCTCTAGCACTAGCAAGGATTCATTCCTTCTGAAGGCCCCTTTACCAACCTAGAGGGAGGCGCCTTAGCACACACTGAACACTCCAACACATAATGACCAGGGGTCTCTGGCTCACTAGAAGCCCTTAACTCAAGTTGCACCCTCCTCTGTGGTTACAGGCTTTTAAAAGTTTTTTATTAATCCTCAAATTTATTACTTAAAAGGAATTCTCACTTTATCAAAGAATTCCGCTGATAACATACGTTTTATGAATTCTTAACTCATAGTGGTAGGAATATTTGAGTGGGAAGGGTTTGAGATTCTGTCCATTGGAGAGTTATTAGAAATGAAGATAAGGAGAGATGAAAACCACAACACAGAAGAACAGTGCATAGGTCTTGAGTTGGACCCTACTTTGGGGGAACACACCCATTACTAAAACAAGGCCAATACACTCCACGTTATTGATATTATTCTTCATGCAGTCTTATACAGCTCCATTGTTGTTGTTTTGGGGTTTTTCTTTTTTCATTTAAAGAAAAATACTGCTTCAGAGCCACAGAGAGGAAAATTCTAGGGTTATATGTCCCTCTCAAATACCACACATTCCCTATTTAATTTGGCCAATATTCATTAAGTCTCTACCACAGGCCAGAGGGCATCGTAGGCACTGACAAAGCCGAGGCTTACGAAAACCGATCATCTGCCCCACTGACAGATCTTCCCTCTCCGTAGGTCCCATGCCCTGCGGGTCTTGAGGTTGTGCCTGGCAGCAGCACAGAACTGGACAAACACATCCCCTGTCTTATAGATCAGTAGGAAGATTATAATTTACAAATCTTTATTATATATTTCAAAATAGCTAGTAGAGAAGAATTTGGATATTTTTTAGCCTAAAGAAATGACAAATGTGTAAGACAATGGATATCCCTGATTTGATCTTACAAATATGTGAATGTATGAAATTATCACAAGTACCCCTGAAAATACCTACACCTATTATGTACCAATGAAATTTTTTTGTTCTTTTGTTTGTTTAGCAGGCCCTGGCTGGGTATCAATGAAATGTTTTTAATTGACCCCTGCACATCCTGTTCCTGTCCCATCAGGACATGCCCAGAAAGAACCGTTGAGTAAAGACTGCCTTGTATTCCCCTGTGCAGAGCCCTCCACCCGCAGCCCCAACAGTGCCTTGTGGAATACTGAGCCTTTCTTCTCCAGTTGTGACCATTTTGCACTGAGTCATCTATACTCTCCATTGTTAACCACAGAGTCACTCAGAAGCCAGTTATCCAGAGTAGGAATCAGGCAACACTCACATCCCAGTAGAGGAGTCAATCCGGAAATGCGGGTGTTTCTGAAAAGCCTGCCGGGTCCCATACCACTCCCGTCACTCGCATCACTCTCCTCCTCTTTCTCTCCCTGCTTCCTCCTCTTTATTCTCTTTTGCTTCTCACCTGACAATGAGCAGGAGAGTCTGTGAGCCCTGCTTAGAGATGCACAGTGCACATCAGTGAGAAATCCTTCACTAGAAAAACTCAGCTAACACAGTATTTCCCAACACGTTTCTCTCTGGAGGCTCCCAGTGGTGGCTTTTAGGGGTTGCTGACCTGTTTCCAAGGGTTTAAGCCAGGTCACTAAACTGCCCTGATTACAACTCTAGAGAAGATAGTGTTCGCCTTCAATCCCCTCTTATCTGACCTTCCTAGGAAATTCTCCTCACTTTTGGTATTCACCATGCACCAACTCTACCCCCACTCTATCCCCTACCACCTAAAAGTCAGTATATAGGAAACCACCAGGCCCTGTGCTTTCCAAGAAGGATGTGGTGCTTTAAGCCAGAATTTCTCACTGTGAGCTCGAAGGAATACTTATCCTCAAGAAATTGTTAAAGAAAAAGAGAGAGTTTGTGATTGAATAAGTTTGTACATTAATCCTCATATTATGTATCACATTACTTATTAAAGCCTCTGAGAAGTTCTATATTAGAGAAATGTATCAAATCTTACTTTCCCAAATGCATTTGACCACAGCTCTCTTCTTAACTGACTGATAACGGCAGAAAGAATTCTTACTCTGCAGAATGCATTTTGAGAAACTGCTGCAGCACAATCTTCTCTTTTGAGCTCCTTCCCATGAAATCTCCCCTACTTCATGTCTCGTTCTGTCTGGATAAAGCTAGATAATTGAGCTAACCATAACATGTTGAGCCAACCACAGTAGCAGCACACGCATACACGTATTGATTGGTGGGTACTAGTTCGTGCTCTCTTAAGTAGTACCCTCCCCCCAATAAGACAACAGCATCCTCACTTTACAGATAAAGAAACTGAGATTTTTAAAAGGTAGGGAATTTTCTCAAGTCTCACCTAACCAGGGATGTCCAGTTGGGATGTTAGCCCAGGTCCTCTAATAACTTCTTCTGTACTAGCCATTCTGTCAATAGGGGTCGATAAGCTTTCCTTCCCAGAACTGTTTACTTTTGAAAGCCAAAGCAAAAACATATTTTAACACCAGAAGAATGAAATGAATCCCTATTATCAGAAACCAGGGAAGACTTAGAGGAAGTCATGGGGAGGCTGGTCTTCTTTTATGTCTTTCAGATGGCAGTCCCCTCTCTCCATGAGTGCAAGGAAAGCTCTGCCTACTTGGGCAAGGGACCCTCCCAACCTCCAGGAAGCTAAGGCTGTAAGGATCTGCAAATTTCACATGCTTATACATGTGAGGTCTGTCTATGGAGTCGGGCTGTACAAAAATAACTTTGGATATTCTAATTTGTGCAGCCTGCGTATTTTGCTACCTACTAATAGCTTGGTTTGCAGTAGTATTCCAAGAGGCTGAAATAAAACCAACTTACCATCATAGATGAAAATTTTCTAACGAGAAAGGTAGGCCCATGCCATGGTAGTGTGCTACTTTTCAAAACCTAGTGATTTACTTACTACACTAGGCATTTTCTGAAAATAACAATCCTGAAAAGTCAGCACCCATTTTCAGCATCTATCAGTTCTCAGATGGATGGAAAATTCACCAAGTCCCCGAATCAGAATTTGGGGTGAGCTTTTCTGGGCAGTGTCCCGTCTAATGCGTTGTCTGTGATGATAATCTGGTCTGCAGTGAAGCAGCAATGGAATCTCATTAGGCTCCAATCCAGTTCTGTTTGTACTTCTCCATCACCTTTATTTGTTTAAGAGGCCTGACAAGGCAAACGATCCTGATGTGCTGTTTACATTGCAGCTTTCACTGGAGCTTATTAAACTCATCGTTACTTCATATAAGCTGCAGATAGGTGGCGAGGGCCAGTTAGTGTTGACAGTAAGTAACAGACACCCTGCCACAAGGTAACATGTTTATATACTCCATTGGATGCCTGGTGGATTTTGTCCCTGTAAAACTATCACAGATAATGAAGCTCCTATCAGATAAGTGACTATAATAAATGACCACAATTAGGTCTCTGGTTGATGAAAACACTTGGTGGTCTCTCCAGCCCGACTTGGATAAATCCCAGGCTAAGTTCACTTGGGAAAAAAAAATCAAATTTAAATGAGATTGACTCAGTAAAACGCCATTTTATTTCAAAAGAAGTAAGAGTTAAAAGAAACTGAGCTTTCAACTTCCTCCTCCATGCTTTCTCCTGTACTTTTCTTCCCATATGATTAATTAACTTCTGATATCAAATCCTTAGAAAATTCAAAGCACTCAATATGCCTCCTCTGCAAATGTTTCTCTGAAATCTAGAATGGTGATCTCGATCTAGATGTCATGGGACATTGAAGGTTGAGGAAGCGTCTCCAGAAGAAAGCACTTGTCTTACCCTATTACTGCACCCAGAAGAGAAACTGGATGAAATCATGGGGGGTGTTGGCATGGACTTCAGTCTGGCCAGATGGTCAAGGAGCCATTTGGCAGCTCGCAAGGCATGACTGTAATCACTTGTTTAAAGGGTTTTTGTTTACACCAGACAGGCTTTCATTACATGATGGTGAAATAACAGTACAGAATTCAAGTACTCTGATGAAAAGATCTTTAGAAGACATTTATTTTCTTATACAAAATAGCCGTTTCCAGGTTGACTTATAGATTTACAGTGAATATATATTATATGTATAATACATGTATATGTAGATGTATAACTTAAGAATGTGCTGAAAGAAGATTTGTATAGCCCTTTTAGAGACCTAAAAAAATGATACCAGCAAAGTAAAAAATGATTGGCAGGCAAACATGCCCTGCCGTGCACTGTGGGATTATTTTTCATCGGTGACAACTATCTTGTTTATGTCGTGTCATGTCAGCCTGCCCTAGATATCTCCCCACTCCTTCTCCCTGCCATTTCCCCCTTATTTCCCTCCC